TATGCCGAGGTGATGATACAATGGATAATAAGAAGAAGTCTGAGTAGAAATGAAACGTCAAATAAGAAAAACCAAAAAAATATGTATATATACTGAATACTTGCTAAATTTATAATTACCGCTATTCAAAATGTTTGATATTAAATTTTTTCCAGGTTAAGTGCAAGTAAAAATAAGAAGCATTTCACTGTAATCCTTCACTTTAATTCAACATTTAAAACTTTTCCAAAGGGCACAGATTTTGTTTCTAAGATTTTGTCACTTTTAATTTTTTTTTCATTTTTCACTAATAAAAAATAAGTATGAAAGTATTTAGAAAAAGTCATCAAAGAACTGTGACCTAAATATGTACTATACTGATTTTACACTTCCTTTTCACAAAGTTACTATGAGTGATATATCCATTTCTGTACTTCATCTGAAAAGCCTAATTCCTTCCAGTCCTTGGAATTTTTATAAAAATGTTTAGCTAGGTACTTAATCTATCTTTGAAAATAGTATTCACTAATAAAATAAAATAAAATAAGATAAAATAAAATAATAAGTAATAGTATCAGTAAATTGTGTTTCTTATATGGTCACTCATAAAAATCAACAATGTTAATATTCCATTAACATAGAAACCCCAAATGATTTATACCACTCAAATTAAAGAAAATTCTGTTATTTGGTTTAATTTCTAGGTATAAAAGAATAAAAAAAGAATATAATAAACCATAAGACCAGAGCAAGTGGTCCCAAATAAACAGAATAGGAAGAAGTCTAGTTGCTTAAAATGAACATTCCTGGGATGCCTGGGTGGGTCAATTGTTCAGGCATCAGATTCTTGATTTTGGTGCAGTTTATGATCCCAGCGTCATGGGATTAAGCCTCACATCAGGTTCTGCCCTGAGCATGGAGGCTGCTTAAAATTTTCTCTCTCCCTCTGCTCCCTCTCCCCCACTTGTGCTCTCTCTCTCTCTCATAAATAAAAAAAAAAAATTAAATTAAAAATAGATACATAAATTAAATTAAAAAAAAAAAAGGCATTCCTGAGGGGGAATCTTTAACAAGCAAGACCTTGGTTAAGCCAAATCTCACCTTGTTTTGATATTTTTATTATCAACTGTTTGAGCATCTAGCATTTTAATTGATTTGTATTTTAATAGTTTTTTATACAGAGGGAAAAGCCAACAGACATTCCTTATTTTCTGTTTATATTTTTCATCAAGAAAAATGAAATATGGATGGAAAGTTTTTCTGAGAATAGAAAGAGCACTGTGCAGCAGGAAGATGATTGACCTTGAGATCAGTTCGGTCCTTCCACTTAGGAACTCTGACCTTGGGCCTGTTATTCATATTTTCTGAGCCAAAGTTTCTCAACCATTAGTCTTGCTTATTTGATAGAAGCCTTGGCCTCTCTATTGGTAAAGTCAATGTGATGTGTGATAACAATACCTGTGGCCAGTGCTACTGTGAGAATCAAATGAGCTAATATATGGAAATATGCATTATAAATTGTAAACTATTAAACCCAGTTTTGAAACATAGTTGTATTTTATTAGTGAATACAAAAAGAAATGCTTGTCCACTGATACCTCAATGCTACAAAACCTTAAAAGCACAACTCAAAATCCAAGTCATTAGCAGATAAATTTTTTCAAAATATGATTATCCTTAAAGTGTAAATTTTATCAATAAATAGACATATCAGGAATTAGCTTTGCTTTAAAAAAGGGAATAACTCAGTTATAGTAAGTTAATAACATGTAGTAATAATATAATAATAATACAGTAAATAAAAATGATAAAAAAATAACCCATTGCTTACATGATAAAGTTTAAATTCCATTGCCAGGCATCTGACTCTATCTACCACCATACTGCCCACTTCTCCTCGACTTCACCTTCTCATTTCTTTTGCAGTTTAGATTGTAAGCTTCTGTTCAGGATGGCTTTATCTCTACAGAACACCCTGGTAATATAATTTCAAACCCACACATTTTTACTTGTTTTTTTCTTTTCACCTAGAGCCCAGAATGGAAAAGTAGCTTCCTTTCCATTTTTCTCTGTTATAGGTGGTTTTTTCCATCCCTCCTTTTCATTAGGAGGGTAATCCTTTGTGGGTCAAGAGAAAACAGAATCCATTCTAACTCCCTACTTTGAGTTATGCCCTAAGTCTTTATCTCCTCAGTAGACACTCTCGGATATTCCACTTTGCATCTTTTCGTCAATAGAGATTATGCAATGTCCTGTCTATATTTTTGTGCCCAGCGGAGACATTTCCATTAAATAAAAGAAGAAAAAACTTCCACCATGAAATTAAAAATTGTGTGTTTTGATCACAAAGAAAACATGATTAAAATTTTCTGCCATTGATATGCTTACTGAGCATAACAGACATTTAGAAGGGGGTCTAACAATATTATTGTATTAGCAGCAACTACCAACAGATGATTCTTTTGTTCCATTGAAGATCTAGGTTACTGAAAATTGTCATGACTGTTATCTGACATTACATGCAGGATTCTGATAGGAGTATGAGAACTTTGTCAGACTAAAACTTTTTTTGTTTTTATTTTTTGAGAGCTAGCATGCATATGCATACAAGTGGAGGAGGAGCAGAGGGAGACGGAGGGAGAGAATCTTAAGCAGGCTCCAAGCTCAGTGTGGAGCCCAATCCAGGGCTCATTCCCATGACTATGAAATCATGACCTGACTTGAAATCAAGAGTCCAATGCTTAAGCAACCAATTTAACCCAGGCACCCTTGTCAGACTGAATTTAATCAAGGTATTGCTGAGTTACAAGTGATTGAATTTGTTAGTAGTACAATTAGTCCCAGTGTGAATCACAGATGTACATTTCCTGGTGGTAGGGGCAGGAAGTGATGTTAAGTATCTTTTGCATTTCACATAATATATATTTTCGGTTCTAAGCAGATGTCTGAAAGTATAATGTCCTCTAAGATGACTTAAGATACATGCAGATTCATATGATATTATTTCTGCAAACTGATTCTAATGAAAAAAAATTAAGCACACGGGAAAGGAATAAAACTGGGCCAGGCACGTGTCATTGTGGACGCGGGAAGACGTTGCTGGTGAGAATTTCATTAAGTACCTTGTTCAGATTATGACAGTCATATCTGTCTCTTCAAGCTTTTAGGAGACATTGTAGTTTCCTATGCCACATGAAGGATTACCTTTGTCACAAAATCCTTCCTACCTAATTCCACTCTAGTAATCTCACTCCATCTGAATTATCCTTTCTCAATAATTCAAGATTGGCCCTCGTTCAGGGAAATGCAGGCAGGAAATAGTTAATAAATTCTGTTAATACAAAAGTAAAGCAGGTTTCTTATCATAATCGCCACATAACTATTCACAGAAATCATTGAAAACCTCCATTCTCTCTGCTACTAAAAGAATCCTAACTGATGCCTAAGACAAGCCCAACCTGAAGGTAACAAACTCCAGTTTGCCTTCACATGTGCTCCTATGAGTTGAAATATGTTTTCCAGACCCGTATTTGTTCAAATATCTGTTTATTCCAGCTACACCAATCATTGTAATTATGCAATAAAAATTAAATTTTATAAACTGATTACATATGAATGCAAAAAGAAAGGCATTCCTGTGAAAAAGAGCTGTTCCTTTCAGAAAGATTTGCTAAAAACGACATACACATAACATTGTGCTACAGGTACAGACAACGAGACAACTCTAGAGTATCAGGGGAAAGTTATCATTAAAACCTTAAAAGATTTAGCTCTCAGATTATTTTACAATTATTTTTAAATCCATGTGCCTCTTGAAAGAAATTTGACCTGGTGTTTATAAGTGAAGCAACAGAGGCGTAGTTAATGGAAGTAACAATATGTGAAATTCCTATCTACAGACCATTTCAGGAAAAAGAAAAGCCTTGGCCATAAGTCAACATATTAGCTTTTCATTCTTATATAACAATTTTAGATGCATATGAATGACATTTTATAGTTTTCCATTTTGATTAACATTCTCACTTGTTCCAATCACTACTGGATTGAATCAAATCAAAGTGGATTTCACTGTACTTATTATGTTAGGACAACACCCAGTATAAGCACTGAGTAATATAAAATGCATGTTTAATTTATTTTAATTTAACCTCAAAACCTACAGTTATAATTTCCCTTTATCCTGATTTTGTCACCACACTGAGATCTCCCTGAAACTCTAGCATATAGCATTACTAACTAAAAAGCACTCAATGCCCCAAAGAAATCTTTTCATTATTATCACCTGAGGCCTACAAAAAGAAAAGAATAGAGTCCTAGTCTATTTTGTGTGCACAAAGCCAGGACATCTCCTTCTTAGCAAAAAGTTAATAAATTTACCCAAAACAGAAAATTGTACCCGTAGAAACAAGTAAAACAAAAAAACCTCTAAAACCAGAACTGCATGGACAAGAACAAAGAAAGGTCTTTCAACTTGAAAGAAAAATTTTGTGGGGCGCCTGCATGGTTCAGTCTGTTTAGCATCCAACTTTGGCTCAGGTCATGATCTCACGATTCATGAGTTCGAGCCCTGCATGGGGATCTGCTGACCTCTCGGAGCCTGGAGCCTACTTTGGATTCTGTGTCTCCCTCTCTCTCTCTGCCCCTCCCCCACTCACCTCCCTTTCTCTCCCTCTCTCAAAAATAAATAAACATTTAAAACAAGAAAAAGATCATAAATAAGTCAATATTTCTTGGAAGAAAGAAGCTAATCTGCCAAAAAGTATCTTACTTGCTTTTTTTATAAGTAGACTCAATGCCCCATGAAAATCTTATTTTGTATAGAAGACTGAAGTTAGCTGAAATGACAAGTTTTCAGCTTCCTCATTTTGACTGAACTTGCTTTTCTGGATTCCACCCTTGGGCTCTCCTTGGGGCCCAGCTATCTGGCCCAATCAGGCCATTTGGGAACAAACACCTGTGTTTAGAACTCGCTGTTGACACAACAATCTGAGTTATGTGGTGATTTCTTAAAGGATAAATAGATGTGCCACTTCCCGGATTTCACAGAAGCCACCTAACTCGAAGCAGGCTGCCATGACCAGCCAGTCTCAGGGGATCCACCAGCTCCTTCAGGCAGAAAAAAGGGCCAAGGACAAGCTAGAGGAAGCCAAGAAGAGTAAGTCTCCGTCCTGTCTTACTTATAAGGGATTTGTTACAAAATGATTGAGGCGGGTGCAACGAAATGAGCATGGGCCTTTAAGGGCAGACAGACTCTGCTTCAAACCCTGTTTCCACCACACCCTCAGAAAGCTTGGCCAGTTCACTGAAACTACCCAGTCATATGTCCCTCTGGCTACCCAGAGGACGAAGTTCTCTAACCCAGATCCTCCAAAGAGGTCATGTGCTAAATGAAATGACAGTGGACATTGAGTTTACAAGGAGACAAGGCCTTGAGGCTTGTCTCTGCACCTTCCTTAATGTTGCCACGCCTCAGTTTCTCAATATTGTGAAACGGTTAAGAGATAGACAACTTCCAGACTGAATCTACTTGTGAGTGAACGTGAGCAAATTACTTACCCTCTGTAAGCATCAGCTTCTGTTCCTATAAAATTGTGACAGTAACAGTTAACAGTTGGTTCCCATCCCTCTTTAATATTGGCTTTTAACTGCCAATATTTTTTAAATATTTCCATTTTATTCTCATTTTCTAACTTTCTTTTTATGTAGTCATGCATCTCTATATTAGTACAGAATGATCTCAGTAAATGTCAAGCCCCTTCCTATGCTCTTTGATATTCACCACAACCATATGAATGAGATGCTACTATTATTTCCACATTATGTATGTAAAAACTGAGAATTCATCATTTGCCAAAGGTCATATTTTAAAGATAGAAAATATCATGCAGGCACCATGCTTAATTCTTACTTTATTTACGCACACCAACTCTTTTGGCAAAGAGGAGAAATGATGCTCAGATAAGTTAGGCAACTTGCCTAAAGTCACACATAGTACAAATGGTACAGAGAAGATCTTAACAACTGCACTATACAAAACTTTCATAATTTTCATAATGAATAAACTAACATGTTGTCAATGAACAACTCAAATTTAGGAATAAGAACTATGCTTTTTCCACTATCCTGATTCATATCACATTATTATTTAATCTATAATAATTTGTGTCTATTAGCTTCTTCCTAATGACATGTCTTGCCCCTGCAATTAGATTCAAAATTCAGTAAGAAGTGGCCCCATCTTAAAAATGTTGATGCAACTCTTTGGGTGAATAGAGTGATAGGAACAGAGTACGTAGTGCAAAAGCTTGTTTAGATGTATGGAATGGGATGCTGTAACAGTGCATTATAATGCAAGAGAAGAAACCAGAGCGAGGCACTACTCATTCCACAGGGTTTTTTGATCACAGGTAAAATCATTTTTCTTTCTTAAGTTGATCTCTTGAGCGGTGGGCAATGTAACCACCAACAGCGGCAAAAGGAGGACTTCATCATGTGGAAGGTGCTCAAAGAGAAAAGGAAGGAGAAAAACTTAAGACAAACTTTACCTACTTCTCCATTTCTTTTTCTATAACAAACCATGCAAATGACTGCAAAATGGTATGAATGCAGAGTAATTTTACCGAAAACAAAGCAGTCAAGGACCTGCTGATTGAAGCAGTGTAGAAAACTTCCTTATCTTTTATGCAAATTTTTAACCACGTTTAGAACTTCCAGAACAGAAGACCAACTTATTTTAAGATGTTAGAATTGCATTACCTTTGCTTCCTCATCATGGAAAAAGCAAAATTACAATATCATATGATTCAGTTGCTTTTTGCCAGTGTGTCTTTTGCAAAGCCGTTCGAGAAGAAAGGCTTTGTGAATCATGCAAGTTGTTTGGAGGAGAGGACCACTCAAAACTTTCTAGACACAGATTTCATAGTAAAAATAAAAGCCAACCTTGTTTGCCTTTCGGCGAGCGAATATGCTGTCCTTGGACAATCTTCCCCAGAAGGCAGTGTTGTAAACCACGTATTATCTTATTTTCATACAAAACATTCATTTGATTTGCCAGTAACTTGAAGTACTTGTGTACTTTTTCCCTTGGTCTTCAATCATAAATATTCAAGCCAATATGCAACCAGTAATCATAAGTATCCAGGCCATAAAAACATTTTGGAAAATATTTTTTCAAATGTTATTTCCACAACCAACCTTTGCGCTGTATTTTACGGAGAATGTCAGTCTGTCCTCTTTGCCTCACAAAGCATAGGCTTTAAGGACAGTTTTCTCCAGATAGTAGCTGCTTGCTTACGTAGCTATCAGCAGGTAACAGTTTTTGGTTACAACTTCAGTTGCTGCACCCGTCATACTGACTTCTCAAGCATTCTGTAGCAAATAAAATACTACCTTTTGTACCTGGTATTTTGCCACCTTTCTCATATTTCACTGGCTTTGTAATTTATTAATTTATTTAATTTAGTAAATATTTATTGAGTGCCTACTGTTTCCAAGCCATTTTGTTATATACACTAATGAGTAGACCTAGACTCTTCCGTAAACAATTCTAGTGAGATAAATGCATAAATGAACATAAAAAGGAGAAAGGAATAATGCCATGAGAGGTACAGATAGCCATCATTTTTGTAAACCCATATATTTCACTTTCTCCCCCCCCAAAAAACAATGCATTTGAATATCTGACAATAGTTTCAGATGAAAACCAATACATCGCAATAGTGGCCACCATCATGGGAAGTCTAGGATCACTTTCTCTTTGTTAAATCCATTTATGTGAAAGCTTCTCAGAAATCTGCACATGGAAGGACTCCTTAATATATATCTAAAAGAAAGAAAGAGAAAAAGAGAGGGAGAGGGAGACAGGGAAGGACGGAGAGGGGGGAAAAAAACAATGGCAATTCACATGTTAATCATTTTAGAAAAATGCAAGATTAGTAAGGTAGTATATTTATATATAATGCTGCAAAAATATTAATATATTCCATTAAAAAGGACTGCCTTGGAGCTCGTGAAGTTGCTGAGGTATAATACAATATGAGGTATAAATGCTTTGCCTTAAGGGATATAGATAAGAGTTTGTAGACTTGATGTATCAGGAATTCTCCTGAAGGCTGTTAGGTCTCTGGAAATGAAATATACAGGTCTCTGCTCTCAAGACACTCACCGGTCACGAGAGAACATTGTGGCTGGGCTGATGTGAGGGAAAATGGTGAGCAGACTCAAAAAGTTGGGCTGTGAAACAACAGAGTAGAAAAAGCATTGGTTTTTTCCTTATGTTTCCACATCTCTGAGTTTGACTCTTTTTTAGATAGAAATACAAGATATATATATGAAATATATAAATATCACATATATATATATATTTATATATATGCCATACGTATGATGGATACATAGATAGATAGATAGATGATAGATGATAGATAGATGGCCATGATGTTTTAAGGATCAGAAAACTATACCTAAGATAGAGTATAATCAAAATAGTTATTTTTATTTTTAACTAACATAATATGTATACTTATATATTACTATAAGGAATAAAAATAAGAGAATGGAATAAAAGATTAGGACGATCTAATTTTTTTTTTTTTTTTAACAACTGCTGCTAGTTCTGGGTCAGCTTTTCCTGTAATGAGGGAAAGTTGGACTGCTTCTAGTAGATGGCTAGGAAAGCTCAGATATCGGCCTGTGTTTACTGATTACAGATTAAATTATATTTATAGTTAAGACACAAATTTTTACGTGCAAAATAGTCTTGCTGTTAGGTCGATTTTAGATGGAATCACAGTAGTTTGGCACTATTTTAAATTATCTTACTTGGAATTAACACCTTCTGCCTTAAAAATTTGCATGAATCAAAACATAAAAGTGAGTGTGTGGGCCCAAGGCAAGTTACATATTTTACAGCAGAACATCAGACCTGTCCTGGAGTTCCAGGTATGGGCGACTGAACTACTTTCAACAGAATTAGATTAGAAATTCAAGGTACCATCATCAATAGGCAGAAAAAAGACTTGTGTTCCTCTGAAATATATGGTATTTTTACTTGTAGTTATGGCTTGTTATGAGATCAGCATTTATTCCGTTTACACCCATTGAAACTTGGAAAACTCTACAGCTCTTTTGAAATGCTCAAATACACGTGACTCAACATCACATAGAGAATCCATAATCCCTAATTATTTCCAAAGGTGAACCATAGCCTTTCTCACAAATAAACACTCAGTCTATCTACTTTGGCCGCTGACAAAAATAGTGTTTAACTCAAAATTAGAACTTGTATTACAGAATATAAATTGGAAGGTGTGGTAAACAATGTAAATGTTCAAATCTGAACATGAGAAAAACTGAACAAGTAGGTATATTTAAAACGTTCTACAAGCAATAGACAATCTTAATAAAAGTGAAGGACACACCTAGAATTTTCTGCCAAGATGGTGTGGTCAGTGCTGGCTTTCTGGATCTGGTCTGCCTGGTGGCAAATCCAGTTTTTGCCTCCTACTGGGTGGGTGAATTGGCCAGATTATCTTTGAACCTCACTGTGTCTCAGTTTCCTTGGCCTCAAAATGGAGATAACACTATCTGCCTCATGGAATTTTCAAGATTGCCTGAGTTAATATGTATAAAGGACTTAAAACACTACTTGGCACATAGTAGGTGTTCAATAAATGTTAACTATGAATATTCTTCCACTACTTAATAAAAAGAATTCTGTCAAAAAGTACAGCAGAATAATAGAGCTCCACTGATCTCTGAAGCACAATCTTCTATGAGGGCCTCTCTGAATTATACTTTAGTGCAAAATAAATAGTTAAGACAATATTTTGACTATCTACTTTGATGATACATCAGCTAATATAATAATGCAGATTCGTTTGTGTTGGGTCTATAGGACACCAACCATAAATATTTTTTTTAAATCATCTAATTGCCTATTTGCTTCCAAATAGACAGATATTCCAAATTATTTAAACAAGCACCTTGATTTGATTTAATAAATTCTTCTCTATGCAAGTGAATATTTTGGTTCATGAAGACATGGCTTTTAATAAACTAATAAAATAAAAGTTGTTATATTAGAATTTCATGGCCCTGTCTTGTGTGTTTTGTAGGCCTGTAAATTTTTTCTCTCTTTTTTTAACAGTCCACAGA